GCCTCTGGCCTGTATGCACAAATGAGTAAATCTTTTTAAAAAAAAAGAAGGATATTTTGCTTGAATGTCCCCAACACGAGTGTTCTTGAGGTATTTTGTCTGCTCTGACCACATTATATAACTATCCATCAAATTAGCTTGACATAAAATTTTTTTAATTCTAGCTAGAACTCTCTCTGGCAGAACAATTTTTCTGCCAATGATTTATCTCATTATATGAATTTCAGATAAGTCAAAATTTAATTTTAAATGTAAATGTGTACATTGAAATTTCCATGCTTCTTCTGACATTTATGTAACTTGTGCAGCATGTATGACACATAAAATGTGGCTTCATGATCTATATATTAGTCAGACTGCCTATTATAAATTCCATCACTGTCTTTAGTTAAAATGAAAATCCTGTGCATTAATGAAAATTATCTGTGCATTAATATTTAGTTTTAAATTAGATCAACATTCCCATGAAATGTTGATTTCTACTTAAGCCATCATCTTTCCTTTCTATTTCTAAAACTACAGATAATTTGCTTTCTAATATTGCAAATATTTCTAAAACCAGGGTTTCTAGCCTTTGGAGAATTGTAATCACTCTGAAAACTTTTGTTGCAAAGTTCATATATATAAATTTTTCTAATAAATTATCCACAAGGTTTACTGTCTTCACTTGGAGGCCTGCAGAATACACATTGCCCCAAATTTGCGGTGGGGAAGCAACAGTGAGACAACTTGTGCCCAGAGCCAGGGAAGGGGTGGGGCTGAGGCCCAGCTGCAGTTTGGGTGCAGGCTGCAGCTCACCCCTGAGCACTGCACTGTGCCTCCCCGCACACAGGTAGGTGGCTGAGTCCTCCAGCTGGGAGCCGGTGATGTTCAGGGTGCTGTACTTATCCTTATCCGTATCCGTATCCTTAAATTTCAGTGTGGTGATTAACCTTCCCTCCTGCTTCGGAGTCTCTGAAGTTATGTAAAACAGAGTGACCAGGCTGCCCCCGGGCTTCTGTCGGAACCACTGCACTTGTGTCACGGTGGTAGAAAAGTTGCATATCAGGGTGGCATTTTTTCCCTCCTGGAGACTCAGGAAAGTAGGACTCTGCTCCACCTGCAGCCCTCTCACGCCTGGGTGGAAAGAGGACAGACACTCTGATCCCAGCGGGTCGTCACCGATGCAGACTCTGAGCTTGTAAAATAGCTCAAGAAACACCCATGAGTGTGGAGGACCACTAGGAGCCCCGCGTCCGCGTCCCTCCCCTCCCCCACTATCAGCTGTGGCTCTCTCCAGCCCCCATGTGGGACGGCCCCAACTCACAGACAGCGAGGACCCACAGAAGCCCCAGCAGAGCACCCCAGTGTCTCATGATCCCAATCTTGTTGCCGGGGTGCCTACACTCCTGCTCTGAGTACCTTCACTCTTGCTCTAGAGGCTGTCAAGTCTTGGGTTCTGGCAATGACAGTCAACAGTGTTCCACCAGCATCAGGAGGACCAATCCCATCTGAGCTCTGTCATCCTCTGAACAGGAAACCCCACCCACAGCGCCCCATGAGACTGCTAGGTAATCTCACCAAACTGTGGGAGCAAACAGTGTAGGGGGTGGTGAGGCGTACTATTCCTAATGTATGTTACTTTGTTTTATTTTTTCTTAAAACAGGTTATGTAAGAAAATTGTATGTTAGTTAGATATTAGTGTTATATATTTTCCTGGGGGGGTGGAGAACAGTGCCTCAACTAGTTTAGCTTTTGCACTGAAAAATAATGAAGCCTTGAAGCAGGGTGTGGAGAGAGTTACGTTGTTTCCAAATATAGTTATTTGGGTCTAGAAGGATTCAGATATATGAAAAATTGGACAGGAAGATTCTCTGATATGCTGCATTATCACTGAAGAAGAAAATAATTTTCTGAAGTGAGGTTTCTAGAAACTCAGGACATGTAGCTCATGTACAAAGTGATTCCAACCAGTGTTGATGAAAATTAAGGTCTGATCACACTAATTTCCCCCTGTCCTCTTCTCTGTCCTGACCTGTGCAGCTGATTCTGATTAGGGCACATACAGCTATAAAACTATTACCTTTCCCTTTCCTCCTTCCATGTGTGTTTCTTTTTTTTTTTTTCAAAGCCCTCTTCTACTATCCTCATTATTCTTATTCCTTCCTATCCCAGAGGAGAGAGATGAAAAGGCAGGCTTAGTGGTACTAGAATTATTTCCAGGTTCATAGACATGGGGTATTTTCAACACAAAAATTAAAAATATTGAAAACAGCTAATAAGGTGGTGTTCTGTTGACCTTTCAGGTTCACCTGCCCAGTGTTGTTCTTGTTCCTTTGCTTAGTCAGAGAATCAGGCTCGTCACAAGTTTATAGAGTCTGGGCTCCAGCATTATACAGTGTAGACAGGGTGGCAAAACTGGAAACCTGAGGTGAACTTCACAGACACACTGTCCCCTCTTACAGCCTTTGC